GGAGACACCATGGGCGCGTCAGGGAAGGCGGCGGCGGCCAGAGCCTGGGCTGAGGCCGGGACGGCGGGCGGCAAGCGACAGCGGTGCCGGCCGCAGCGGCGGCGGAGAACCGGAAGTTCGTACATCTCAGCAGCCACTGCTGCTACGGACGCTTACGGTTGCTGCTGTGAGAGGCAGGACGCACTCTGTGACGTCAGACGCTCCGAGCGTGGCGCACGCGCAGTGGAGGTCGGGACGAGCGCGGGGGCGGTGAGGCTCTCTGCCCCTGATGCACTTGTGTGTTCAGAGAGCCGGTTTAGGATAGGTAAGAATATATAAAAAAAAATTATGCGCGTACCAACTATTCCTATGAGGGAACCGTAAAGAATATGAAGCCTATCATTTGGATTCTTTGATGGAAAATTGCAAAAACACCTACTTAATAAACACACCTATTAATAATAAGCTGATTTAATCCCTGTGACCCCCCACTCCCGGATTATAGACTAAATGGACCATTTATTGCCTCTTGACACCTGGATTTAGTTGCATCACTTTAGATGTAGAAATGTAATTTTTTTTTTCTGCCCGTTTCAGCTGTGAGTTTTTATAAAAGGTTCCCGTCACTTTCAAACACCTGGGAGACAATCCTTAAAATGTGTAAAAAAAGATAGTGGCCTGTATCCTATACTGTAAAGGATAGGACTCTAACTTCTGCAAGTCCCTTGTTTCAAGTTGTGAGAAGACCCTCAGGGATGGAGACAAGGGAAAGTTCAATTGTACTTTTGGGTATAGTTAAGTACCAAACACCACAGGGGGCACATGGTCTGCCCACCCAGGCACTTAAAACTTTCCAGCTCTTAGTTTCTTTTACCAAGTTTGAGCTCTGACTGAGTTCTTGCAACTCTTCTCCATTGCATGAGACTTAATAGTTTTTGCCATTTCAACTTTGCCATCAGTAAAATGAAACCTGAGTTTGAGTAGATGTTACCACACAGGATAACATCTGTCCTGAATTGTAGTAGCTATTAAGGTTTTTTTTTTTTAATATAGCTGTTTGACAAGTCACTTAGAATTTGATCTTTTGGCTTAGCGTTTGAATATTGGATAGTGAAGAGATGAAACTTGTCCATATTTCAGGAAATTTAGTTCACTAAGGACACAGGCTGGGAAAGGAACATGATGGAGCTGAAAATGATCAAAGTATTTTATTTGCTTGTATGAGTCTGCCAAAATCAAACCCATTAATCAATGGAACTAATAGAAAAATAGTTACATGAAAATATTTAGTGTTTTATATGTACTTATAAATTTTATTAATAGTATTAAATCTTAAATGTACATTGAAAGAAAAAGAAATTCAAAATACTACCAAAAAATAGTAACTATATATGGTGGTATATTTGGTAATTAAATTGGTTAAGGTAATCATTTCACAGTGTATATGTTAATCAAATCATCATTACATGCTTTGAATATATGTAATTTATATTGGCCAGTTATATCTACCTCAATAAAGCTAGGAGAAACAATTATATTTAGGTTCAAGCCAAGATATTTAGGCTCAAGCAATAACCACATTAAGTTTGAATTCTGAAGTGTATGTTGCAAATGAAAACTAGTGTGAGACTTGTACCACAAATTTTGAAGAGGACAAATTTAAGTGTAAGGACAGAATGAGTCTGTACACTATTTTCAGCTAACTGGAAAATGAAGTGGCTTCAGCCTGATCAAAGTGGCAGGAGTAGGTGGCTTAATGTTGAATGAAGAAGCCTAAATGTCAGCTTCCAACTGATAATTATTTATCAGTAATAAAGTGGCTGTCTTGATTTCCTGCCTTCCTACATCTTTGTATCATACCATACATGAAAGAAATTATTTAGAAATGCAGCTCTTCCACAACCTCCCAAGAAAGTCCAGCGTTTAACTCAAAGAAAGAATGAAGAGAGGAAGGAAGGAAGGAAGAACATGGATTACCTTTTCTATCTTCAAAAATATTATTTTATCATTGCAGTTTTCATCTTTATTAATAAAATGTCTTCCTTCCAGGTGCTCAGGCATAAAGCTGTGGAGTTATATTTACCTTTCACTTACCATCAGCAGCAGGCCTTACCAGTAGTAACTGGGACAGATAAAAAGCTACACGATTCTGAATCTCAGTGTGGAGCAAATGTTTGCAAATGGTTAGAGCCATATTGTAATTGACTCCCAGCCTCCCAAATCAGAATAAGACAGGAAATACATGGATTCTAGACCACAATTCCTGCATTTTCTATTGTAATTGTGGAAAATGGTAATATAGACTGTCCCAGTTACTCTTCTCTTGTTGCTGGGGCAAATACCCGACACCCAAAATAAAGGAAAGAAAGGTTTATTTAGCTCACAGTTACTGGAGGTTTCAGTCATACTCAGCTGGCTCAAGGCAGAGCAGCACACGGCAGAGGGCAGCCTTTCATGGCGGCAGCAAACAGCAGAGAGCAAAAGGAGAGGTAGCAGCTCAGGCAGCTAGCCAGCCTCTCCCCTCCTTACCTTGTAAAGCAGATTACCTGCCTCAGGGCAGGTGCAGCATCCACACCCACAATAATCAATCACAAACTCCAGAAGTCATCCCACGACTGCTTTAGGCTTTGGGGCGGGGGACACATATACACAACCATAACATAGACCATATGTATATATCTTTATACCAGTTCTTGGGGGTGACTTAGTTTGTAACTAAAGTTTAAGAAAAAAAATTTCCTTTTCCTCCATATTTGCATCTCTCTGCTGATAGGCCTTGCTTACTTCCCTAACATCTTTTCCTTTAATCCACTCCTTTCTTGTCAGAAGTAATCATTTTTATGTTTCTACGCATATGCATTTTCCCACTTGCCTTCCAGCCCTTTACTTATTTAAATGTGTCTTTAAAGGTCAACTTTTCAAGTTAAGATTTACAATGGAATAAAAATCAACCATCGAGTAGATTTTTTTCAGAAATTCTCAGTCCTCAACAATAATCATAGTAAAGTGCACAAATAATCTGGAAATTAATCTGTTCTTTGTAGAATAGCATTTTTATAGGATAACATTTTTTATGCCTGAAGGACATATTTAGGTGTATTATAAGAAAGAACAACAATTTCTTTGTGTGTAATTTAAAAGTGATGACTGTTCCCTTCTACACCTGTGATCCTAGCTTTGTAAGGAATCTCCACACTGATTTCCATAGTGCTTGTCCCAGTCTACACACCCATCAGCAGTGCAGAAGGGTCCCTTTTTCTCTACCATCTCACTAGCATTTGTTATTGACTGACTTTTTGATGAGAATGATTCTTTCTAGCATAAAATGAAATTTCAACATTGTTTTAATTTGCATATCTTCAATGATCAATAATGTTGAACATTTTTCCATATATTTATTTGCCATTTGTATTTCTTCATTTGTGAGGTTCATCGCAGATGCCTACTTTTGAATTGGGTCTTTGAATTTTAGAAGTCTGATTTTTTTTTAAATTCTTATATGTTCTAGATGTCCTTTATCTGAGGTACAGTCAGCTAGAATTTTTTCCAGTTCATGGGTTTTCTTTATACTGTATTGGTGATATCTTTTTTCCCATAATTTTATTGAGAAACACATAGCAATGAGAGAGTTTCAAACCCAACTGGTAGGACAGATTCAATAATGAACACATTGCATATATTCTTCCTAGTGGTTAGTTACATTCTCTTGATGATATCTTTTGACATGCACAAACTTTTCAAAGAGATGAGATCTCAATTTTGATTCATTGAAATATTTCCTGTGCAGTTTGGTTTTGGTTCATAAACTCTCTACCTACCACTGTGTCTTTTAACATTTTTACCTATTGTTTCCGCCAGAATATTTAGTGTTTCAGTTTTAATATTTACATCTTTGATTCATTTTTACTATATTTGTGTGCATGGTGAAAGTCATGGGTCTAATTTTAGCCCTCAACATGTGGAAAGCCAGTTATTACAGCACCATTTATCTTTCTTCCAGTGAAAATGTTTGGCCTCTCTTTCAAAAAGATAAGGTGGCCGAGTGTGTTTGTAGCTATGTCTGCATCTTCTAATCTGTTTTGTTGATGCTCAGGTCTACTTTTTTTGCCAGAACAATGCTGATTTTTATCATAGTTGCTTTGTAGTATAATTTCAAGTCAAGCATTGTGATGCCTCCTGCCTTTCTTTTGTTGCCAAGGATTGGTTTTGCTATTTTAGGTCACTTCTGGGCCCAGATGAATTTTAGAAATGTTTCTTCTAGATATGTGAAGTATACTAATGGTATTTAATCAGGATTTCATTGAATCTGTATAACAATTTTGGGAGTGTGAATATTTTTACAATGTTGGTTCTTCCTATCCAGGAGCAAGGAGTAAGTATCTTTCCATTTTTGGAAGTCTTCTTTGATCTCTTTTTTTTTCAGCGTATTATAATTTTCACTGTATAAATCTTTTACTTCCTTTGTGAGATTGATTCCTAAGTATTTCTTTTTTTTTGGTGTTACTGTGAAAGGTGTGGTTTCCTTAATTTCTCTCTCGGTGTTTGTTGTTTGTGTATAGAAATGCTATTGATTTTTGAGTTTTGACTTTGTAACCTGCTATGCTGCTGAATTTGGTTATTAAATCTATATGTATTTTGATGGAGTTTTTGGGGTCTTCCATGAGGCCAATACAGGTTATTAAAGACTAAAATACCTCAG